CAAATTGCCAAGGGCAGCCACAATAGCCACGAGCATAGCAGCTCTCATTATCTCCTTCGTATTTTGTGGCAACACAAAATGCTGTACCAATAATAATAATAATAATAATAAAATTAAAAGAGCTCACTTATTAGTCTGCAATGAATTGAATTCAATGCCACTCCACAATTCACAAGCCAAATATCATCGCAAGAAAAAAAGGACAATAAACAAAATAAGCAATAATTGAAACAATGTTAAATTTCATTCCAGCCAATAAACACTCGAATGACCATCAACATTTTACGCGAGATGAATCTTACCTTCGTGCGTGTGCGTGCGTATATAAACGTTAAGGGTACGAAGAATGTATTAAAGAGACGGCGATTGATGGTCTAAAATATCACGAGAGGACCTACATTTCCATTGTGATGTAGGGGAAAGCGTACGAGTGAGACGATATTAATGAGATCGCAATCTCAAGAACATCTAAACACGATAAACACTAATCTACACCACATTGTAATAGGTTGTGGTAATCTAGGATGTTTTTGTGCTGAATTTGTATGTTTTTCCTTGTCTGGATTGTGTGTGTGTGTGTGATGATGATATTGCTGTAGACATTGAATTTTCTTTGTGGGAAATGGGAATGAAGAAGAGGAGATGGAGAGTTGATTCTGCTAGAGTTCCTATTTTTGGCGCTACAAAATAGGAAACAAGCACTTCAATTTATTACTACATGTGTGAATGGATAATATTCAAAATTATTTAAATATGGAAAATGCTATGCTCTTGTCATGTCGGGTGTTTTAATCATTGGATCATCTATCTTATCTAACTATATATGGATCCAACGGTTAAGGCATCCGATGAAATGGTACCGTAACGAGACCGTAGCATTTCTCTATTTAAATATATTTATTCAATATTTTTATTCGTAAACTAGTATTAATCTTGTGCACATGCACAAGTTACTAAAAATAAATAAATTTCCGTTGATGACTTGATTTATTTATTTTTGAAATTTTGAAAATCTTAGTTAAACGATTTTTGATTTTTATGAAGAGAATGAATCTTTTTCTCGAAGGATCAGAACAAAGTTTACTGATTGTGAAATGATTAATTACTCGAATGTATCAATAGAACCATTTTCTTTTTTCTCCTAATGATTCTAACCAAAATACGTTTTGGGTGTGCAACAAAAAATTGTATTCTCAAATCATATCAGAGGGGTTTGCTTTTATTGTGGAAATTCCATTTTCTCTACGATTAATATCTTGTCTAGAAGATATGTAAAAATTATAAATAAAAAATTACTCAATAGTATGTATCATTTATAATCAAATTACGTTAAACTCCTAATTGGATTTTTATACTTCGTGAAATAAGCACAATAAAAATGTAGAATTATCATATTTTAATGACTATTATTATATGAATATAATGAATAACCTAATTTTTATACAATGTGATTATTTTATTATAATAATTAACATAAAATTGTCACCAAAGTAACAAAAATAATAAATCTAAAATGAATAACGTGATATATCTATCACAATCACTTATTACACATTAATAAGAATGTATTTTTTTAGCACAAATATGTAGGAAAAATAAAAACCATTGCATCTCAATCCGTAGACCAATGTATAAAATTTTAATGTATTTTACAACATTTAAAAATTAATTTAGAATAAAAGTTGATAAGAAATAACATAAGTTGATAAAATTAACATTAATTTACATTATAAAAATGGCTGGAAAAAATATGTAGGTTTATTTATCACATATATTAATTAGTTAATAATAGAATCTCAACAAATGAACATACAAAATAATCGATATGATTATGTCTTACTTTTATAAATTTATTATCTAAGGAAATTCAAAAAAAAAATATATTACTTTACTTCAAATAATTTCCCTAAAAATTAATTTTATTGTCGTAATTAAATTTTTTAAAAATAAACATGAGTAATTTAAAATTCAAATGTTAAATAAATGTATCATAAGAAAAAAATATATATAGTTATAATATTGTAATGAGTACATAAAAAATATAATACTTACAAAATTAACAAAGAGTGCAATTATATTAATTATTAAGACATGACCGTTACAATTTTTAGTAAATAACAGAATATTAATTACAAAAATACTAATAAAATAATAAGTAAAACATACTAAAAATAACCAAAAAAAAAAAAAAGACTAGGCTATCCCATTAAGTGGATAGAGTTTGGGTCTGAAATCAAGCCCACGAGAGTTTAGAAAATATTGGTTTTATAACGGGCCAGACCAAACCAAGCCCAGCAACACTGATTAAATAGCCAAAATTAGGGTTTCTTTACCGCGTCATTCCGTCTTTTACCATCAGAATTTCGAACATCGCCACAAATTAATGAATTTTTTAATAAAATATAAAATGGATTTTTCTCAGCCAAGAAAATGGCATGTTTGATTATTCAGACGGCTAAACCAAGCTGCGGGCATGAGCATGGAAACGTGGACAAAATCGAGAAGACGACAAAGCTGGAGCCTTTTCCTCTCACTCAGTCTCGTTCCATTCCCACGATTTTGGAACTGAGACCTAACAGAAGTACAGGGCCCTGAGGAAAATTTTTTCGAGATGAAGAGTAGTGTGGAGGAGTTCACGGCGGGCTATTACGGGCTGTGCGCCGCCGGAGGAATGCTCAGCGCCGGCACTGCTCATCTCGCCATAACCCCTCTCGACGTCTTGAAGGTCAAAATGCAGGTTAGCTATCTCGGTATCTCCCCCCTTTGATCGCTATCGTGCCCCCATTTCTTTTAAGCAGAGCTAATTTATAGTCGGCTGTTACTTGGTATGATGATGATGATGATGGTGTGGATGACTCATAATCGAAAGCTTGTTTCGGTCTGTAATTTAGCTGATCGTGAATATGATTTCCCAGTTTCTTCTTTCAGACGGGTGTTTTTTATTTGTTTGGTTGAAAGTCCTAATGATACAATTTTTTTTTTTCTTGTAATAAAGAGATTTTTTTTTTTTTTGTATTTAGTTTCGTGTTGCTATATGTGCCGCATTACAATCATTTCAGGTGAATCCAGTGAAATATCATGGCATTCTATCAGGGTTTAGTACTCTGTGCAGAGAAGAAGGTGCTTCTGCACTTTGGAGGGGTTGGTCGAGCAAACTCTTCGGGTATGGCTTACAAGGGGGCTTCCGATTTGGTCTTTACGAATATTTTAAGACGGTGTACGGTGACATACTGGTGGATCAAAACAAGGGGGTCATATTCTTTCTCAGTAGTTCATCTGCTCAAATATTTGCCGATATTGCTCTTAGCCCTTTTGAAGCTGTCAAAATACGAGTTCAAGCACAGAAGAATTTTGCCAAGGGCTTGGCTGATGGTTTTCCGAAACTTTATGCTACCGAAGGATTTTATGGGTAATTATTGAACTGCAGATTTTTGTGTAGGTGGCTACTTCTTACCCAGTGCTGACATGTCATGCTCATGCCGTTAATTTTTTGTTGCAGATTCTACAAGGGTTTGCTTCCTCTTTGGGGTCGAAATCTGCCATGTAATGCCCTTATAGCTTAGATAACTTCTTTTATTTTATTGGCAATATGTTGTTGCATGGTCTATATCCTCTATCATTTTGATTGTAAAGAAATATCTTGATGTTTACAGATAGGAATTTGTTGGAGTAATTATTTTTAATTTCTATGTGGACTTTAGCTTGTGTTTTGATGACCCTTTTCCAAGTAATATAGATATGAGTTAATCATTTTGTAAACATGCTTCTTCTATTATTTACAACTAAATGGTGACATCCACTAGGACTATTTTAAGTACTTAATACCTGATAATATGAGCATTTATTGATTCATGGGCTAGAATAGTCGTATGTTAATGCTTTTCAAGTTCTGAAGTTAGTCTTTGAGCATTCACTTTGGACCTGGTGTCAACTTTATTTTTCAACTCATGGTTTTTAACGGACTATGAATGTATGTTTTTATATTTGTATGAGCCAGTTTGGATCTCATTCATGCAGGTTCCTATCCGATCGCAAGTGTTGCAAAAATTTGAGCCAGACCATCCATAGTGCTTGTTTTGCTAATTAGCGAACTAGCGAATGCTCAAAGAAGAAGCTAATTTAATTTTATCCAGCTATATATATACCTAGCCCATTTTTTCTTTTTAAATGATAACTCAAAATGCAGATTCTGTAAAAAAGTGATGGCCCATTTATGCTGAACAGATCTATATATTTCCCAATGTGGAAGATTCACCTTTGACTAATAAAGTTCAGTTGGTTCATCTTTTATTGTTTCCATATCAATAATGTTAACTTTCTCAAATACCATTGGCAGTCTCCATGATAATGTTTACAACATTCGAGCACTCTGTGGAGCTACTTTATAAGAATATCATACGAAGAAAGAAGGAAGATTGCTCGAGAGCACAACAACTTGCTGTGACGTGTTTAGGTGGCTATGCAGCTGGAGCTATTGGTACCGTTGTCTCTAATCCTGCAGACAATATTGTTTCCTCACTTTACAATAAAAAGGCTGCAACCATAGTGCAGGTACTGTGTTGAGATTTGAGAACAGAGTTCTTCATGTAACAGTGTATTGAACATTTGTGAAGAGAGTATCATTTGTTCTTGGTTGTTTTTGGTTTATTATTATTCAGGCTGTGAAGAAAATTGGGGTTGCCAATTTGTTTACTAGAAGTCTTCCTGTTCGGATTGCAATCGTGGGTCCTGTTGTTAGTCTGCAGTGGTTTTTCTATGACAGCATCAAAGTGTTTAATGGACTGTAAGTATGACTTCTTCAAATGTTCACCAGCCAGAAGAAATAAACTACACGATATATGAAGATCAACAATATCAGTTGTTAATTAAAAATAAAGCTCGTATATTAATTGATTTGCCTCGATATGTCCTGCTTACACTAGTAGTATCTTTTACTTTTAGATGCGTGGAACTTATCTTAAATCAATCAAATATCAACTATGATTTTGAGCAGCGTATCAAACAATTTTGCTCTCTTCTTCAGCTTTAGGAAAATGTAGGTTTAACTTTTGTTCGCCAGGACCTTATTTTTTTGTGTTTATTTTCTGTGTCCATTCATTGCACCTTTGAAAATACTTGGATTCAAGATTGAAGCTTTGAAAATAAAAAACCAAAATCGGCTAATGTCCGATTATCACGAGAAGCAGTAAAATATATTTACTATGTTATCTTGCCAGTTTCATTGAGTATAAACAATAAGTCACTTCAATAAATTTGTAATGATCATCTCCAATCAATTTCTTAGAAGTGCCATTTTCTCAAGTTTCATAATCGTAATTATTTATCTCCAACTTATGTTCTGGAGAGTGAGTTTAATCACCAATTGTTTGTGCTGTCCAAATTTTTCGAACTGTACAGGCCCACCAGTGGAGGGCTGAGAAGGCATCTGATAAATCCTGAATGCTAAACTGTAAAAGACAGTCGGACTTTTTTCTGCAGCAGCAAATCGACATAGAGATCGCTTTGGATGCTTTACATGGATGTGGTGACTACCATTAATGGTGCTTTGAGTTTTACCTGTTAGCAGCATATTTCACCTTATTCTTTATCCGGTAATAAAAACAGAATAGCCCGAGCTTATCTTTCCTCCTCGGTTTTGTATGATCTAAAAGCTTACATGCCCTTGATATTCTCCTCCGGTCACCTAGCTTGAAGCCGGTTAGTTTTTGGTTTATGAGAAAAATGCAGCCCATTTTGATATTTATTCACTGAGGCTCTATTAGCTTGGAAAATTGCAAGAAAATATGTCTGTTTTGTGTTTGAAAACATCATAGGTGTAATTGTGATTGTATATAAATTGCAGATTATTAGTACTGGTGTTAGAATGAACAGGATTCTGAATCTTTTTTTTTTTTTTTTTTTTTTTTTTTT